CAAGAGAAACCCCCCTTGGCTATTTCAGAATCCGGTTTCCTTTAGTATGTAATTAAGTAGTTGCAAGCATATGTAATCAAGAAAGACCCTATAGGGCCTTCCCAAGACAGACCTGTGCCCCACATCCTCTGCTGTAGCTCCCCTCTGAAGTACCCAGGTAATACCATATGATTCATGTTTCCTGAGTTGTTTCATGGATGCTAAAACCACCACCAAATGGAAGAAATTAACTGGATAATCATCAATACGTAGCCCCAAGACCTACTGGCTCCTAAGGAGTGATAATGTTAACCCCTGTGACCCACCTTGTTATCTCCCCATCAACTAGTCAGAGAATTGTGCACAAGGTGATCACAAACTGGGACTCCCCTCCCCCACCTGGCCTTTAAAAACACTTTGCTGAAACCCCTGGGGAGTTCAGGCTTTTTGAGCACTAGCCGTCCCAGATTGTATGACGCCCTACAACAAATGCTGCACTTTCCTTCACCACAACCCGGTGTCGGTAGATTGGCTTTACTGCACAAGGGTGAGTGGACCCAGGTTTGGTTCTGTAACACGTACATAAACCCAGCTGGTATTCCTAACTGGCTTTGGTGGCGGAAGGTGGATCCTACTCAAGACTCTATTCATGAGGAGTCTAGAGAATGGGGGACTTGTTAAGTTGCAGTCTGATTTTGAACTCAAGGGCTGACATGCCCCCTCCCTCCCCCCCATCTTGTTTGTTCTCTCTTCATCCCTCCATCAGGCCATCTTCTGCACTGGCTTCATCCCCATGGCTCCTCACAGTGACAAAATGGCAGCAACAGCTCCAGGACTCACACCGCAGCTTCAGAGAGTGAGAGAACAGTGTCTTTCCCCAGTATTCCCAGCACTAGCCTCCCTGGGCCTCGTTGGCTGTAACTGGGTTGGGTGTCCACCCCTCAACCAGCCACTCTGACAGGGGATAGGGAATGCACCAGCTGACTGGGGCCTGGCCTTGGAAGTTGGGTGGATCCCTGGACTGCATGGACAGAGAGTAGAGGAGGGATCCCCAGGCAAGACGGGGGGGGGGCACTGGCAGGAGACGAGGGAGGATGCAGGGGGAGGCAGAAGACTGATGTCCAGCCAGCTGACCCCTCATTGCCCCCATGGTGTCCGTGTCGGCTAGAGAGAAGTTCTGAAGGCCTCTTACTGCCAGGGGAGTGGAGGGGCTCTGTCAGGCAGGGGGATGGGTCGACAGAGATCCTGCACCCACAGGGGTTCAACAGCGTTCAAAGCCAGCAGAGAACTGAACACAGGGAGCCCTGTGCCTGGGTCGAGGTGTGAGAGCAGAGACAGGTAGGCCTGGGGCAGGTGAGTTAGAGGGAAGCTGGGCCTTCCTGCTGGAGGAACAGATAGAACAAAAGGGCAGTTGGCAGGGAGCCCAGGTCTAAGACTGACAGCCCTCAGAGGTCAGGACAGCTGTCAGGGGGAGGTTTGTGGGTCAGATGGTCCTCTGACCAGTGTCACCACCACCCACAAGAGGGCTGGGTTCAGATGTCCACTCAGGAGGCCCTGAAACCCTTCCAGGGCCACACAAGGCCTTCCTGTGAGGCCCACTCCCATTACACCACCCCTTCTCTGGCCTCTCAGCTCTGGCCAAGAGCTAGGTAGTTTCTTCCAGATCCCTCATCTCGGCCTGGCTGGCTCTGGTTCCGGCCCACAGGCACCATTCCCTGTGCAGACTGGGCCCTGCCTGCACCCTGCTCTCTTCTCCGATCGCTGAACCCTGCAGAGTGCACTCTGCAGACAGCCAGCCTGCACATTCTCAGTACAACCAGCGGGTTCAGACAAATTCCATGTGATTAGAGCTGAGCACGTGACACCAGAGCCGACTGGCCTCCGGTGCTCCCCTAACCCGAAGGGCTAGGACCCCTGTGAGTGGGCTAGAGGCTGGGAGGGGGACCCAGGACCTGCTTTGGGCTGGCAACAGTGTCCGTGGCCTTGGGGGCTTGCCTGGGATGTTCGGGCGGTGAAAAGACCGTGCCCAAGATATCAGAACCTGGCTCAAGGAGGGCCCCACACTAGGTCTCAAAGCCTTACTGACTCAGCTCCTGTCTGAATTGTGGTCACGAGGGAAGCTGTGAGGGAAGGCGGGACAGGCGAGGGAACACAGGCTCCCATGCGCTCTAAGCCGACATCCCAAATACTTACATCAGCGAGGGCCCCTCCTCCTCAACCCCTCACCTGGCGCCTGTTTCCTCTTGCTTAAATCACAATCCTATGGGACGTCCAAGTCCTCCTTGGTGAGCTTGGTCCCCTAGTCTGCAGCGTCCCTCATGACCTGAGTCACTGCCTTGGACATTTTGCCTTCCGGGTCCCCTCCCACCCCGGACTTGAATTTCCCCAAAGCAAAGACTGTGGCTTGTCCACCGTGGTCTCCTCACATTGCCACCCACGCCCGGTGGGTGGAAGTTGTTTACTAAATGTAGACTGACACCTCCCTTCTTGTGGACCTGGGCACTCGGAACTCAGAGGAGGATCACGGGGGTGTCACTGCCTGATGGGAAGGAGGAGGCAGAAATCCCACCCAAAGCAGACACGCAATGACTAGAAGCCCTCGGAGAGCAAACAGCTCTTGGGAGCCTCTGAGGCAGCGGGGATCTTGGAAGGGCAAACAGTGTTGAGGCCATTAGTGAGGGCTCCGGGCCGCCGAGTCAGAGACAGGATTGTTCCGGGAGATTGCAACAAGACGTGCGTCCCCAGGAGTGCAGAGGGGAGGGTGTGGTGATTTTACAGTTTGGTTCCGTGAGGCTCACGTCTCAGCTGTTTGAAGCCTGCTCTGCACACGCCTCCTTCCCAGAGGGTCTCCCACGGCCCAGGTGGCTGTCTGCTGTCTGGCCCTCTGGTCCCTACAGGGGCCTGGGAAGGATGTGTGTGGGGTTTTCAGGCATTTTTTTTTCCATTTTAGGATTTTCAAAAGCCTAATAGATAAGGCTAGGCCCATGAAACCAAACATGCACTTTATTTGCTTCAGGCTGGAATTAAGTCAGCCTCGTGTGGTAATGGCTGTGTCGTCTGATGACAGTTATGTGTGTCCTAGTTAATAAAACAGGGCTGACAGTGTGGCCTCTCTGCCAGCGCCCAGCTCAGTGGACTCCGGGCGTGCCTGTGGAATTGTTACTTGATAAATGCAGTTTTCTGAGGGATAGCCATGTGGAGAATGAGGCAGAAATATGAAAATGTTTTTGGGGCCGTGAAAGAAATAAATAGCTTTCCTTCCAAGTAACTTCCTCGGGGACCTAAGGGCAGGAAATTGGTGAGGAGGCCGGTGTGTGGTGCAGTCGCCCCCTGGTGGCCTTTGAGGAGCACAGCACCTGGAACCAATAGAACCTCAGGCGAAGAAGGAAGAGGAACCACGGACCTTCTAAATTGTAGACTTTGCTCTGGAAAGCTGTGCAGCAGAGCAGGCTGGGGAAGGGTACAGTTGCCTTACCCAATGTTTCTGGCCCTCACTTTTCCCAAACCCCTGCTAGAAAGGTAACAAGGGGCCTCCTCCGTAGGTTGTGAGAGGGGAGGAATCAAGCCAGGCCCCCGGGATGCTCAGCGCTTGCTCCAGGCCCCAGGCAGGTCAGCGTGGCCGCGCAGTGAAGGGTGGCAGGAGGGTGGGGTGTGTGGGCGGCTGTGACCTGACTGCCCCTCCTTAGCCAGCCGGCTCCCAAAATGGCCTGGGAGTTACCAGGGAAGCTGGGGACTGTCACAGACTTATTTCTAAAACCTGAAAACTCCTTCTGAAACATCTACTCTTCCTCCTGCAGCCTATGGGTACGAGTCACCCTTCTCTAGACGGGGAAACATGCATGAAAGCTTAATTGGGATACAAAGGAAGGATGCTCGTGTTTGTTAAGAAGCTAGTAAGTAATCATACTTAGTTGTCAGGACAAGCCTATCAGAGAATTGTTTTTCTGCTCATTTTACAGATAAGGCAGCTGAGGCTCAGCAAGACTTGCTTAAGATGAAACAGAACGCTCCAGAACCAAAGCACGGGCCTCATACCCTAAATATCTCAGGGTCTGAGACCACACTGAGCTCTGCAGCCCATCACAAAGTGGGCAGTTCAGTGCTTACACCTGGCCTGGAGCCACCTGCCTGGGTCCAAGTCCTGGCTCCACTCTCTAATGGCTGAGAGACCCCAATATCTTTTATTCCAGGCTGTGGCCAGGGCAGACATGCTCAGCACAGTGGCCAGCCCATGCAGATGCAGGACATCCCATCCCAGACAGCAAGGTCAGAGCCCTCTCGCCTGGAGTGTGCCAAGGCCCTGGGGCTCCAGTAGAGGGGAGCCTTTGGTGTGTTGGGGGGTGGAAGGGGGCTCCTGCCATCTGTATGCCTAGGTACTGATGAGATGGCCATCAGCCAGACCTGGTGAGTCCTGGAGGCTTGGGTCTGTGTTCACTGTGGAGGTGACATCACATGGCCTGGGGTCTGACCCTCAAAGCACTGCCAGACCACCCAGTACCTCCTTCATCCCCATCCCTGAGTTGGGGAGCCGCCATCCTCTCCTCCCAGAAGGTTCTCATTTCTTGCCCCTCCTCTGGCATTACCTCACTGAGTTTAGACTTTTGAAAATAAAACCAGGAAAAGAAGATGTCTTCAGGCAAATTCTGCTTCTGCCCTGTGACCTTCACCCTCCAGCCAAGGGGAAACACAGAAATGACGTCCTGGAACTGGCAGAGAAAAATGATCTGGGAATGAAACACAAATGGTACCTCGAGGAGTGCCCCCACCTTGCAGATCTGTACAGAGGCTGCCAGGCTGGCGCGTCTCACAAAGGCTTCCCAACTGTGGGCATCTCCTCCTGACTCCGCCTGCAGTGACGGCACATTGGGAACTTGAAATTGCGTCTGAAAATTGGCAAATGCTACAATCGGGGAATGTTAGACAGTTACCAGCATAGCACTGGGCAGGAGCCACGGTTAATAGCAGCGGGGATGGGAGGGGCTGGAAAACCAAAGTCGGGACAAAGCCAACAAGAGTCCCCCTCCTTTTGTCAAGTTTATTTTATTAAAATATACAGGACTGAATATTGGTGGGCACTGAGAATAGAAACCACCCTCCCAGGCCGCGCCCAAGGGAGACACTTCTGCCATGCAGACATGCGGCCAGTCCACGTCCCAGCGCGGGAGACAGACCCCTCCTTGTTGGACGTGCAGCCAGTCTGGCCCAAGGCCAAGGAGGGCAGGGCCATGATGGTGACCCTCTCTCCTTTGACCTTGGCCCCTTAGAAGCAAAGCCACACCAGCTGGGAGAGGGGAGAAGATCCCTGAGCCAGGGAAAGCTGATGCCCTCCTGGAGGAGGGGAGAGGGAGCCCCCAGTCAGACTGGAGATGGGTGTCAGTGCAACTCCAAGGGGCAGGCCCACCTGTGTATGGGTGCCCAGAGGTCCCCACCGCGGCTGAGCCAGGCTAATCTCCACGGCCTCCGCCACCCCCCCTTCCTCTGAGGGCCCTGCTAACCCTCGGGCCAGGCCTGGGCAGAGGTGGGGCGGCGGCCGATGGAATGTATGGTTTGGGAATGTTCCTCGGAAAGGCCTGTGCTGCCGGGGATGGGGGTTCCATCTCAGGCGGCCTGGCGGCGGGACAGCCTCTCTCTCTCTGCTGGAGGTTTCTGTAGACCTGCCATCCAGCCGCAGGCCCCTCGGCCCTCACTGTTGGCGCTGGCTTAAGCTGACATCAGCCTCCATCCCCAGAGCAGAACCCAGCCAAGCAGAATCCCCGGGGTTTGTGCTTTTGAACGTTAGTGAGATGGGCTGGGCCAGGGATTGAGGGGGGGATGGGCTTTGAGCCCCCACGACTCTGAGGCACAGAACCGACCCCCATGCTTCTTCCCCAGGGCCACCAGATGGGGGTTGGTAGGACCCAGGCCTCAGCCCGCCAGAAGGGCCTTGCCTTGAGAAGCAGAGTGTCCTAGGCATCCCCCGGGGGCTGCAGCCTGAGCTGGTGGGGCCCTTGTGCTTTTTGTATGGGGTTGGGGTGAGCCTGCGTGGAGGGGTGGCCACACGGCTTCCAGACCCTAACCGGGAAGAGTGGTGCTCATCCAAGCTGCTGGGCAGAGGGAGATGGGCCCACAGCAAAGAGGGAGGCAGAAGCCCCTTCCCAGGCCTGCTCCGCCCCCCACGCTCCCTGGCTGTGGGCCCTGAGCTGTGTGACCTCTTTTCAGGACCTAGGAAGGTGTGGATGCTTAAGGGGGTGTGGGCCGCCCTACCCGCTGCACCCCGAGCCAGCCCTAGCAAGGGAAGGCTCCTCCAGTCCCAGTGAAGTTGGCAGAGAGTTCCCCTCAGGTTGTCCACCAAGAAACCCAGTCCCCTGCCTGAAGGGCCCCCTTCTGGGGATGGAGGAGACGGGAGCCCACTGGCCCCTCAGCAGCGGGGCTCACCAGCTCAGTGGACTGGCAGGCGTCCTGGGACCCAGGGCAGTGCTTCCAGGAAGCAGCGGGCTTGTCTAATCACCACGTCTTTCCTGGGCTGAACTCCCCCGACCCCCAGCTGCCCTTCTGGGGTCCTGAGGTGAGGGCCATTCTGGAACTGCAGTCAGTGCGCAGGGAGTGGCTGGGGGGGGACAGGAAGGCCGGAGCAGCCCAGAAACAGCCCAATGTGGTGGGAAAGAAGGCTTGTAGATGGGAGGGGCCTTTGCTTTGGAGACTGGAACCTCCTTTGTAGGGAGGCAACACTCAGAGGCCAGCGGCCTGAAGACACCGCCGTTTCAGCTGCCCGCCCAGAGGCGGCCTCACCCACTGGCCTGGAAGGGGGCTGGCTGGGGTGTGTGGCTCTCACCACCTGGACCCAGCCCCTCCCTCACCTCTGTCCCCCAACCTGCCAGCCCAGAGGAAGGGTGTTTGAGAGAGAGGAGAGAGAGAGAGAGAGAGAGAGAGAGTGTGTGTGTGTGTGTGTGTGTGTGTGTGTGTGTCTGGAGCAAACTATTCACTTTTTGCAAATATATTAGAAAAAAGTTTCTCATGGAGGCAGCTCCTGGCAGGATTGAGGTTTCTATGGGGCAGAGGTGGCAACAGCCACTCAGGGACCCCCCCCCTGCCCTCCCCAACCACACGTGCCCTAGATGACGTTCTCGAACAGCTGCATGGAGCTCATGATGTCCTTGTCCTGCGAGGAGAGAGGACGAGAGGCCTGGTCAGCCCTGGTGGGCAGTGCCTGAATCCAACCTCGCCCTGAGCAGAGTCTCGTCAGGGACTTGGAACCCCCCAGTCACTGGCCGGCCCCTCCGGGCGAAGGGGGAGCTGGTCAGGCACAGCCTGCCTCCAGCCCCATGGCCGGACTGCTGGCTCGTCCGGGAGCTGCTAACTCACTGATGGACAAACCCCCCACCCCGACTGGCTGTGCACTCGGATGGAGATGGGAGCAACCAAGGGGCCGCTCGGGGACTGAGGCAGGTGACCGAGGCCCACATCCTGCCCCCTGAAGGGCACTCTGCAGAGGAGGGTCAGCAGCAATGCTGGGGGGTGCTCCAGCCTCCTTCTCACAGCGTGACCCTGTCCGGAGGGCCCCAGGTCTCCCCACTGATGCGAGGCACTGAGGGACAGTGTGCTGGGCTGGGCTGGGGGCTGGCAGGGACGGGTGGGGCGGGGGTGGGCCCAGGTGAAAGGGTGCAAGTGGAGACTGGAGGTGAGGAGGGGACTGGCAGTGTCTTCAAGCCCTGATGCCGCCTACCTTCTGACAGGTCTCCAGGAACTCATCGATGGTCACCACCCCATCCTGATTCCGGTCCATTTTCTGCAACCCAAGCCATGCCTTCAGTAAGTCTGTGGCCCACTAGGGCAGGCCCCTGCTCCCGGCTTGAGGACATGGCATTGAGTGGGTGGGTGGGCCCCCTCCGTCCCAGCCTGTCCCCTGCCCTGGATCCAGGCCACGTAAAGTGCCCTCCTCGGCCACCCCCACCGCACAGTCTACCTCTCTCACATCTCCCTAGTCGGCCCCTGACCTGCAGCCACTTCCCAGCAGCTCTCCTGGGCTCACGCTCCCCAGATGCATCCCCACTCGTTGGACCCCTGCACCTCCCTGACAGGCAGCCCGGCAGGTGAAGCAGCTGAGGCACAGGTGGCCGCATGTCTACAGGGCCCCCAGCAAGTGGGAGGAGGGGGCTTCAGCCCTGTCAGTCCCCATGGACACAGAGCAGTCACCCCAACCCACTCCTCTCGGAGGGAGGTCCCTCGTAGGACTGGGGGAGCTCTCGGAAGGCACCGGAACGCTGGCCCAGGGTGTCAGCTGCCTCGGAATCCAGGCGCCCCCGCCTGCTCTGAGATGCGGTTCACAGACTGGGCAGTGGGGATGGTTGTAAGTCGCTCCTCAGGATCCTGACCACCAGCAAGGTGAGTCTCCTTGTGGGAGGGGGAGGCTCAGAGGGGAATGGCAGGCCCAGGGCTGCCGGAAGGGCAGCAGCCCCTTCCCTGTGCAGCTGGGCTGTAGCGCTCACCCGAAAGAACCTCTCCACGTGCTCCAGGGGCGCGTCCTCCCGCAGGATGGGGTAGGTGTGGCGGCCCATCATGTCATAGATGGACTTTATGATGGCCAGCATCTCCTGCAGGGGGCCAGAGGGGCTGGCATGAGCCTGGCTGCAAAGAGGTGGGGTGGTGGGGACTGAAGGTCTGAGGGGCGGGGCGGCATTAAAGGGGGGGCACCTCCAGGGCAGTGGTGGGTAAGCAAGTGGGGCTGTGTGAGCTGGAAAGAGGCAAGCTCGCCCCCATCCAGTCTGCCCAGCTAAGTTTCTGACTCGCCAAGAAGCTGGAGATCGATTCTTATGCGCAATCTCCAGAATTGGAAACGGTAGCAACCATTTCATGTACCAAAGTGTTTGGGCCAAACAAAATCAGACTGTGGGCCCGTGGGTGAGTGCCCCACACCGCCGTTTCACCCTGCCTTAAGGGACCACAATGTTCACCCTTAATTGGTGGGAGCCAAGACCAGCTCCACCACCCCTGCCCTCAACTTCTCCACTGGTGTCTCCCCCAGGACCTCCCCGTAAGAAAGGATGATCTGGGACACTGGTTGAACAGGATAGAGACATGTGGCGAGGGGCACACAAGTTCCAGGCCCCCTGCACCCAGGAATGCAGGTCGGAGAGCCCAGGAGAGGAGGAGAGCCCCCTGGCCGGCTGTCCCCTCCAGGCATCTCTGGATGGGGAGGGGAGGCAAGAAGCCAGGGCAGCAGGAGAGGGGAGGAGGGAGGTTGGGGGTGTGTGGAGCGGTGGTGGGGAGGGGCAGACAGGCCCCGCCCCGGCACCCCCAGCCAATCCTCTACCTCTTTGGTGATGTAACCATCCTTGTTAATGTCGTAGAGGTTAAAGGCCCACTTGAGTTTCTCGTGGACTGTTCCTCGCAGGAGGATGGAGAGGCCGACCACAAAGTCCTGTGGAAAAAGAGGAGGGGGAGGAGTGACAGTCTGGCGCCCAGAGTCTATTTCCAGTTCACTGTGTGGCTTCCACTGAAATTCACACCTGTACAGGGGAGGCACCTCCATCACAGCGGGCGGACGGTGTCTGCCAGGTCGATGTTGCGTGAGTCTGCGGTGTGTCTGCATGTCTGTGCGTATGCGAGCGTGTGTGTGGCGGGGATGGCATGGTGGCTGGTACTGATCTGCTCAAAGACATTCAGACATATGGTGTCTGAGACCCACGTGTGTTGCCGCTGACAGAGGAGCCCGGGGCTGCTCTTTTACTGAAGGGGTGTCTATTTTCACTTTATCAAGTGTCTACATGTCAAGGTGCCTGAAAAGTTATAGCTTAAAAACTAACAGTGCTCAGCCCTGGGGTCACGCCGTACCTGGGTGTAATCCCCTCTGAGGTGTGACAGATAGTGTATCACTCATGTGACAAGACGTGAATGGTTGAATGGCTTCTGTGTGAAAACCTCAACTGTTTTAACAGTTGGTGGGAGGTTTGTAGGGTAAGCCCTCTCTGCCCCATGGGGTCCCCCCAGGCTGCTCTGACAGAAGAGAAGAGAAGGGGGTCTGGAAGTGGGGGTGGAGGGTGGCAGACGGTGGAGGGACAGGACCAAAGCATCAAGGGGCTTGGTCCCCACTCAAATTTTAGATTTTCTGGATCAGAGGAAGCCTGTATCAGAGAAAGATTAAGGGAAAGAGAGAAAAGCTGTTTTGGAAGAAACAAAAATTATTCCAGGAGGGGAAAAAAAAGAACTTAACCAAAACTCTTCAATTCAGAGGGTAGAAATCTGGCACCCCCACAGCTAAGAATTGGATGCAATAAAAAAGGAATAATTGGGTACAAGACAGCGCTCCTGGGAATGAAAAATAAGAAAGCAAAATTACAGACTCAGAAGAAGGGTTGGAAAAGCACGTGGAATCTTCCATCAAATAGCGCGAGAAGGCAGAGCTGGAAAATAGGAGACAAAAGCGGGTAACGAGAGGTCCACCCTAGAAGGACCAGCTGTTGGCCAGCAGGGGTTCCAGGAAGAGCCAGAGGGCAGGGAGGGGCGCGTGTCCAAGAGGGAATAAAGACTTTCCCGGAACAGAAGGCTGTGGGTGTCCCGGTCCCACAAGGCCTAACAATGCGTGGAGACAGCCTGCAGTGTAGCCTGCAGGCACATTATCATGACGACAGTTCAGAAAACCAGGTGCAAAGACAGGATCCTACAAGCTTCCAGAGAGAAAAGCAAAACCAAACAGAAAAAAAAATCAGGTCCTGGACACGGTCGGGAATCAGGAGGCTTTGCCTTTTGATGGCAACACTGGGGGCAAGAGGCCAGTGGAGCGACGCGGCCAGCGCTCTGAAGGAGAACAGCTTCCCACCGTAGCTCTGGTCCGCACGACAGATCAAGCAAGAGTGAGGACAGAACGAAGGCATTCCCAGGCATCTGAAGGCCCAGAAGTCACCCGCCACGTACTCATTCCTAGGAAACTCCTGGAAGATGTACTCCTGAAAAGAGAGAGTAAAGCAAGGAAGAAGAAGATGAAGGCCTGCAGGACCAGGAGACCCAACCCAGGAGAGAGGGGAAGAGGTCCCCAGAGGGCACGCAGTCCTGATGGATGATGGAGCCGGTCGGAGGCTGGAGAGGCGTCCTTAGGGAGATGCCCGTTCACACGACTGGAGAAGCGCTGGGGCTAAATTAACGATGAGGCCACAGACTGCAGGCAAATGACAACTCAGGACCACTGTTCACTGCAGGCAAAATAAAAACATGTGCAGGAAATGGAAACGTAATCATAGTTCCCTACCAGGCTCAGCTGGGGATGAAATTCACATCATGATAGTAAACCGAGAGTGCTTATCCAATCTGAATCCTTTAGTTCTGGAAAGCCAGGGGATGGGAAAAGTGTGTGCGTGCGGGACACTCAACTCCCGGCACCCACGCAGAGAGCCAACAGGCAGCATTTAAAACTGGGCCATCGAGAAGGAGCAATAAATGGATGCTATTAGGTGACAAGGAGAAGAACAGTGACAATCGGCTAAAACAAGGATGTGGTTGCTTCCTCGGGCGTGTCTGGGGGCTGATAACTCTGTTTTCCCAAAGCACACCCTGTAAGTCTCCTGGAGCCTTAAAATTGTGTCTGTGTGTGTGTGTGTGTGTGTGTGTATAAGTGAAGAAGATGAAGACACACAGAAGGAGAAACAGTGTGATAGTTCTTACATGCCTGCGTCTGGGGAGTGCTAACCACTGCGGCTCGTGTATGATTTATAGAGATAGTGGAGAGTCAGAGCATCCCTGAAGTCACATCATGCCCTCTTCCCTGGGGTCTGATTCGGGCTTTCCCGGGGGAAGAAAAGATACAGGCTCCGACTCGGCACAGCAGGGAACAGTGGGTCCCAAACACCCTTCCTGTGTGGGCATGGGAGGGACCCTGGCATCACTGTCCTCCCATCCAGCCTTCTCAGATGCTGCATAGAAGCCCTCGTGGTCAGCCACAATGGAGGAATGTCCCTACTCAGTGTCCTTTAGCATGTGTGTGTAGCATAATAGTGACGGTGCTAGGAGAGGTGGGTGGGAATGTCCCCGCGAGGCCACTGGCCCGTCCTCAATAACTCACAGGTGACCCCAAGTCCAGCCAGCCCATGTCTGGGTGCTTGCTGGTTCTAAATATCCAGCCACTCGCTGGCTTTAAATTTCCAGGTGCACACGGCAGCTTCATGTGGGACCGTTGCTAGTTGGAGCTCCTTGCGCTTAGTGCCGGGGGGTATGAGACCCATCATGCCCACAGCCCTGCTCTGCACTGTCCCTAAGGCAGGGCCCAGGGAGGATGCAGGGCTCCCCAGGGACGCAGTGACACCGGCTGGGACACCCAGAGTGCACATGAGGGGCGCCCGGTAGAGTGCAGAGCAGGAGGTCGTGGTGGGTGGCGAGTGTGATTAGATCCGGAGCTGCAGGCCCTCCCTTGGGTCCTGAGGTCACCGGCTTGGCCAGGGGCACAGGGGGCGAGTCACCGAAGGAGGAGAGGGCAGCCAGCAGCGCGGAGGTTTGCTCGGTTTGCCGTTTACTCTTCTAGGTGCAGGCAGGGAAGTTACAACGTTTCACCATATCAATAAACTCTAATTAATACGTCTCATCTCAAGGATATACAGAAAGGAGGGCGATCATTGTAAGTATCAATAAGGTGACCTGACTCTGCTTTTAGGGCAGACTGAGAGGTTTGGTCTGAGGCAGTGGGGATGGCTGAGTGTTCCCCCAACACCCCCATCCTTCCTGGGAGATACATGCCCTCCTCCCTATCAAGGAGACCTGAAGGCCCGAGATCCCGTAAGAGATTCACAGCCCCTGAGAAGGCGCCTGGCAGAGAGGCGTCAGTGCCAGCGCCCCGCAGCTCAGCCACTGACAGCACCTCCCCCCGCAAACCCTCTGCTGACCACCTTAAAGGGGCCACCAGACCCTCCCTTGGGGAGTGACAGCGATGACCACGGGAGAGTGACGGAGACCCATCTGACACCTGCCACCGTGCAGGGAAGGGCCCTGCTAAGCCTCTCGACCGTCTGGTTTCTGAACAACAGACACCACCATCAGAGCCCTGGCTGGGCCCATCACACAACTGCTTCGCACTCCCAGAGGCCTCAGGTGCCTCTTAAAGGACACCCAAGGAACTGGCCACAGGGGTGAGACCAGGGGAGGACGATGGATTTTCCCTGTTTACTCCTTCGTACTGACTGGCATTACTGAAAATAAAAAAGCTAAAAACACGGTAGGTTTACATACTCACACACACACCAGCCCTAAGAGTGTGGCCCGGGGAGGGCGGGGACCCGGTGGTCCCAGAACAAGGTGGCCTTGGGCTGCTCCCCCTGAGCCCCAGGCCCAGGTGTCAGTGAGCTGGGCTGGCTGGAGGCACAAGAAGTTAAGCATCTCACAGCATCGTGAGTTATTATTACCCCGGCGGGTCCAGGCAGGGGCTTTCTGAGCTGGCTGCCACCTCTGCCGATTTCCTGTCAGCCGCCCTTGGCCTTGGAAGCCAAGCTGGGCGGTTATCGATCAAGCCCTGGCTATGAGCAAGGTTTTCCTCTCCGAAGAGGTTTCAGCTTTTCGCCTGCAGCTATTTTTAGGGGCCTGGGCTCCACAGCTGGGGCCTCTCTCAAACGATCCCGTGTGGCTGGGCCTCGGTGGAGCCCAGACGAGGCCCCTGGTGTCGGTGGAGGTGGGGCGGGGCTTCTCTTTCCCGACAGCGGGGAGCACCAGGCTGGCTCACAGTGCCCACTGGGAGGACCTGGCAGGCTGTGCGGGCCGGGCTGCTCTGCCTGTGTTCTGGCAAGGGGGTAAGTTCCGGGGCGGGGTGCCCAGATCCCATCAGCACAGACCTGTCGTTAAACCTTGCCTCCTTCTCAAGTGCAAATTCACGCTGGGTCACTACCAGCCTCAGTGTGCCTGAATAGCTCCCTTGGCTGGGCGGGGCTGGAATGCAAGGGAAGGCTGAGAATAGGGCGGCCAGACAGCAAAACCAAAGTTCGGTGATTTCACAGTCAGGCCCAGGGCCAGCCAAGCACAGTCCACTCGTCTTGTTCCCTGGGTGACACACCGGACCATTTAACCCAGGGTCATGTCTGAGCCTCTGGACGGCCCTGAGAGGGTGGCACCAGGGCTGAGAGATGTCCCTCACCCCACCCCTACAAGTTGCAGGACCAGGGGACATGGGAGGGGTCAACAGGGACCTACCTCAAAGTGGATGGCCCCGTTCCCATCTGCATCGAAGGCATTGAAGAGGAAGTGCGCGTAGGTGGTGGCATCTGGGGAGACCAAGGGTGAGGGCTGGGAGGGTTGGGGCTGCCTGGCGCCTGAGCCCCAACCTCAAGCAGCCCCACTGGGCATCCCAGCTGCATCCTGGGCTGGATTCCCCACTTCCTACTGGACAGAGGCAGCATCAGGCAAGGGGTGGTGGGGAGGATGGGGAGGGGGAGGGTTCCCTCCCATAGAAGGGATGCCCACCCTCTGCAGGGCTGCCCCAGGGAAGCAGGAACTCTGGGGAGAAATGGGGTAGGGGTGAGGGACAGCCTCTGACTCACCTCCCTGAGGAAAGAACTGTGAGTAAATGAGTTTGAACGTATCTTCATCCACCAGGCCCGTGGGGCACTCCTGCAGCAGGAAGGCACCCCTCTCAGCGACCTCAGCCACCCCAGCACCACACCCAGACTCCAAAGGGCCGGGCCTCTCTCAGCCCTCTGGGGGACACCTGCTGCCGAGGTACCACTGGCTCCACTGAGCCCCAGGCTGGGGAAATCCTGGTTGGGTGGGCATGGCAGGAGGGGCAGACAGGGGTGGAAATGATGGTAGCAGGTGGCCTCATACCAAGTTCATCCGTCCACATGCTCCTCCCAGCATCGAGACACACAGAAAGGAGCATGGTGCCTTCTGAACACTGATTCTGGGACCTGGCCCACCCCCAGACAACTCTCCTACAAAACTTCAGCTCCATAAATATTTACTGCCCCTGGGATATTTACTGTGCCCTGGAAATCTTCCAGAAGGTCTGCCTACACCAAAGTCCCTCCTTCCTGGAGCCAGGGACAGGAGGGCCGGCAGATTAGGGCCTCTCCCAGGGGAATGGGGAGCACTCACGTTCTTGAAGCCCCTGTAGAGGGACTGCAGCTCCTTCTTGGTGAACTTGGTCTGTGCCTGCAGCTGGTCCAGCCTCTCCGGCTGGTGGCGCACTGCGGACAGCTCCAGCTCACTGTCGCTGCTGTCTGGAGGAAGACATAGACCCGGGAGGTGGAACATGTGCCCCGGCTCCCCCATCTCACTCCAGTGTGGGTGCTCGGCCATGGGCAGAAGTAGGGGGTGGAGGGACTCTCCTTGCATGACTACCATGTATGGCTGCACAGGCTGTGCACTGTACAAATGCATGGGCTCTAGTGGAACAGCACACTCAGCCATTGTGCCTCAGGGCCTCTCTGCTGCCTGGTTCCTTACACAGAGACCTCCCTATTTGCCTCACCACCCTGTGTGACCCCCCTCTCAACCACACAGATGGGGGTGAGGGTTGGGAGCTGGTCTTGTCCTGGGGAAACACTGAACAAGAAGAGGTGGAAGGGAAAAAAGACAGAAGACAGGCACAGGACCCTCAACCTTCAAGACCTAATTCCCGGATCACTCCTCCATGCAGCCCTCCCTGATTTCTCTCAGGAATGGAGAAGGCACTCCCTCTTGGCCCAACCAGCCTAACATGCCGCTGTGGCTACCTTTGGTATGGGGGCTTTATTCACATCTGAATAGGAGGTCAAGGGCCTGGAGGGCAGGACCAGGTCTTTTCTTTCATAACAGCTCATCAAAATGTTGACTAATCATGGCTAACTTTTCAGAGGTGGGGGAGGTTTTCAGATGATCTTTACTTTTTTGCTTATGGTCTACATTTTCCTAACTTACTTTGGTACGGCACACATCAACTTTACAACATCAAATAAAGCTCTAGGCAAACAGTGTGGAGTCCTACCTTTGCTGAGCAGCAGCCTCACGTTACAGAAATTCCCACTGTGATGGGCAGCACCATCCCCACTGCATTGTCATCACCCTGGCTGCCCTCGTGCCCCCCGGAACTGAGACCATGGTTATCTGCACAGCTGTGTGCTTGCTCCCAGTGCAGGGGAGCCCTGCGGGGCGGCCTCCCTGCACGGCGCACTCTGTCCCTGCAGAGCCTTGCACAGCTACCCCAAGCCTGATGAGCCCTGTGCTGGGCCTACTCGGCACCTGGGCCTTGACCGTGAGCACTGCCTGCTCTCACTAACCTCAAGAGCTCCCTGCAAACTGTCCAGCAATCAGCTTGTATCACCTTTGTCCATGCAAACCCATTCCACATAACAGCTATTTCCTATCTCCCTTCTCTAAATTCCTAGTACCTCCTCCCCCATCCTCATCTCAAGTTACTTCCTACTTCACTGAGAACACAGAAGCCACAAAAGAAAAATTTCCCAAGCTCCCACCATCACACCTACTCACCCACCTGCATCTGGACCAGACATCCTCCTCTGGGATCAACTGTCCCTGTTTCAGCCTAAGGCAAATACCTCCACTTGCTCAGTGGGTCCCAAGCCCTCTCACCTACTCAAGGATGTGGCTCCAGCAATTCTCCCCACTATTTCTTCATCATCTTTCTTCCCATCCTTCTGGATCATCCCCATCTTATACAGACATACTGTTAAATCTGGCAACCCTTAATCAAATTAAGTATAAGCAAATCTTGCAATCCAGCAATTCTGCTCTGGGTAAACATCTCAGATAGAATCTTACCCAGCTAAGGGGACCTGACAACAGTATTTCTGATGGGGGAGTTGGAAGTTTCCAGGGGTCCATCACAGGCAGGACGAGTGGGCACGATACAGGGGATGCCCACCAGGGAGAACTGTGCAGAGGATTACAGAGGCACACAGCAGCATAGATGAGTATTAAAAATAAAGTACTTACTTCAGTTAAGAGGCAGACATTTTAGACTGAATGAAAAAGCAGGACCCAACTGTACGCTAGTTACAAAAATGATATTCTTAATGCAAAGACACAGAAAAATTAAAATAAAAGAGTAGGGGAGGGTGTAGCTCAGTGATGGAGCACATGCTTAGCATGCACGAGATCCTGGGTTCCATCCCCAGTACCTCCATTAAATTTTTAAAAAGTCAGACATAAAAGAGTTCATACTATAGGATTCCATTTATATGAAATTACAGGATGGGCAACAATAATCCAGGGCAATAGAAAGCAGTAGAGCAGGTGGTGGTTAAAAGAGTATATACAATTGTCAAAACTCACTGAACTGAACACTCAACATCTGTGCATTGTGTTGTATGTCAGTCGTACGTCAGTTAAAAAAAAATTCTGCTTAGACTTTTGCCTTTGGTCATGACGGGGTAGTGAGTGTCAGCCTTATCTCCTCACCACAAACAACTTGAAAACTGGAAGAACTATGTGGGACAAGGGTTTGCAGACTTTGGACTAGAGCACAGGACTACAATCTTTGGAAGAAGGGAAACACGTCAAGTGGCTCCACATTCACCCTGGATACTGGCTGGGGACACATTCTGGCCCTCGACATGGTGAAGTGCTGATGAGGTGGAGATCAGAGTTTGGGGCTGCTGAGACAGATTTGCAGAGCAGGGTCCTGGAGAGGAGGGAGCTGCACAGTGGGGTGACCCCGGAAGTCTGTGGGGGGGTTTCCCTTGGGGTCTTGGCCGAGGGCTGGGCCACATGTGCTCTGAATGAGACTCTGTAAGGACCAGCTGTGCGCAGTTGTTGGGGCTAGTAGGACAGAGAGCTAAAAAGATGTATCAGACTTCATGCAATGATGAAAAAAGTTGGAGTTCTGGCCCAGCTAGGATGTCTACCTCCCTAAGCACCCTAGGCACTCAGTTGAAACCCCAGAAAGGCCAAGCTTTAGGAGAAGGCACCATGCCCTGGGCTAAGGGCCATGCTCTAGTGCTAAAGCCAAAATCAAAACAAACCCAGTCTAACAAAGTTTAAAATAAAGTCTGTCCAGATCAAGGGATCTGCCAGTAATGTAACCGATGGCCTTATATTAAGATAATACAGTCCAGATTCCCTACCACATAGCACCCACAATTTCCACCATATAATGAAAAATGAAAAGACATGAGAAGGAGGATAATATGACCCATAATCAAGACATAAAGCATTCAGCAGAATTATTTGTTTTTTATTATTAGAATTATTTTTTTAAAAACTTTAAAACAATTACTACCAATATGTTGAAAACAAAAGGGAAAGAAAAGAGTGAAGACATGGGATTCTCAGCAGAGAAGGAAAAGCATTAGAAAAGAACCAAATGGAACTTCTAAACCTGAAAAAAAAAACCCTCAATATCTAAAATAAAAAATTCACATGATGAATGTAAGATTAGTTTAGACATTACAGAAAAAGAAGTCTGTGACCTTAAAGACAATTCAATAGAAATTACCCAAGCTGAAAACAAAGAGAAAAAGATATTAATAAAACCATATAGAGTCTCAATGATAGGTCAAGATTGACAACATCTCATGAAGTTAATAAACAACTAATTTACTCCTCAGCCCCTGGGGGCCAAAAAATAAAATAAGAGAAAAATTCCAAACCAGCAGCTGTTTCTTTCATTGAAAAACGAAAACCAAGAAAACAAAACTATCTTAGCCCTACTTCCCCTTAAGCTGTTCTCTTTCTCTCTCTTTAAATTCACTCTCTCTACTTCCTCTCCTCTTATTCTCCCTTGAGCTCGCTCCCCTGGGGCATGTGCCCTGCTACTCCATACAAATGGCCTTTCAAAGATCACCAGTGATCTCCATATCGCTAATCCAGTGATCAGGACAGTCATCTGGATTCCTAAATCACACAAGGGCAATACAAGAATGAAAATGACAATGCGGGTAAACCCTGAGGGTATTATGCTAAGTGAGGTAAGTCAGACACAGAAAGACAAACACAGTATGATCTCACGTATATGTGGAATCTAAATAAAAGCCAAACTCATAGAAACAGAAGAGTAGACTGGTGGTTGCCAGGGGTTGGGGAGGTGGGGGAGATGGGGAGAGGTTGGTCAAAGGGTACAAACTTCCAGCTATAAGATGAATACATTCTGGGGACCTAACGTACAGCGTGGAGATGACCCTTAGCAGTACGTCCTGTACACAGGAAAGTTGCTGTGGGAGGAGATCTTAAACGTTCTCACCTCACCACAGTAACAAAAAGATGGTAATTATGTGAGTTGATGGATATTTCAACTCACCTTATTGTGCTGATCATTTCATAAACTTACACAAAGGGTTAATTATCTCAATACAGCTGGAAAAACAAACAAACAAAAAGAAAGAAAATTATATGCCCATTTCACTTTTGAACATAGATGCAAAATCTTAAACC